TAAAATGTCGCTAATTTTGAATTTCGAAATTATTCTACATTTTCTTGCGATCTTCCAATATAGTACTCCGACGGGCCTTATGTGAACATATGCATTTTCTCTTGGCTTATAAGATTTAAAATCATCTTCCTTCCGTTAGTTTTTCTACTGCCATTTTAATAGTCGCTCCCTTGTTGAGGTCCTGGAATTTATCCATCTTTGAGGTCTACCTTTACCTGTGCCCCCACACTTGTGTCTCCATATGTATATATGCGTCTTCACTTAGGTTAGGTGGAGTCGTGGTCAAGCGCTGGTTTATTTTTGTTTAAAAAAAAATCTCTCTTATAAGGTCCCTGAGATTAAAAATTAAAATTCTGTGAAACATTTTTAATTTTGTTTCTTTTGCAGGAACTTTGTGCCGTCGAGTAAAAAGCCGGTGAAGACTTTTATGAACAACTTCCGTAGCGGTATCATGTCCCCTGGAGGTAAAGTTTATTTGTATTTTAAAAATTTACAATTTCATTCAATATTTTGACTATCTTTACTAATGTTATAATGAGGAAAGAATTACATTATCTATCTATCTACCCTTGATTGAAGAAGGAAGAGATGCACGTAAAGATTATATTTTCCCCTTCCAATGCGTCTTCTTCGCCAGCAACTCCACTTTTCCATCCCATTGTTTCCTTTTAACCCTTAAATGCATGATTTTTTCTTTTTTAATACCCTAAATTGAAACGGGTAGAAAATTGAGCATAGATCATGGGAAAAATAAAGGAAAGATTTTTTTTCTTAAATAATCTATTGGGTGTGGAAAAGTAGACTGATGTATATTATAGATATCATACATTTAAGGGTGAAAAGGGATTAATAGTGCTTTAAAAAATCGTTTTCTAAGTATATATATATGTATTCCAGCGTCGTTGTCGGGTATGTCTCCGATGGGTCGCAACAGTCCGTCTCCGGGCGCGGGCGGCGGCGGCTCCGCGTGCGGCGAGGGCGGCGCGGGCGCTCGCGCAGGCCCAGAGCCGATATTCGTAGCCGCACCCCCGCGGGCACAGCGGCTTACACACTCGGAAGCTTATATCAGGCAAGTATACTGTCATCATCATCATCTTCTTCCTTTTACTAACGTTCTCCTTGTAACAACATTCATCCCTCCTCATACTATTGTAATACGGAATGCTAAACGCATATTGAGTGACAGCCCAAGCCGAGGTCCCTCTCGGGGTCTTGTTCCAAGTCACTCCATGGAGCGTCCTCCGAAGCGGTTTAAGAGCTCGGTGGCCCCCCAATCCGATAATCATATCGAAGTAAGCGCCATCTGCGCCCGGTCACCTCAAGCTTGCTGAATCTGTAAATGCTTCTTCAAGGCAAACAGTGACAATTCAGTCACAAAAAAATGTAAGAATGACAGTCAATTTTAAACATATAAAGTTTTCGCTAAATACTCCGTCCCTGGGGAATTAAAAAAACAAGCAGTCTATATGTTATTAGACTATCTACATTTATGGTAAATTTCATTGATGTCCGTTGAACGGTTTAGACTACAAACTCTGACAAACACCCATACATCAAAACTTTCTCATTTATATTAGTAAGAAGTAATATATAGACGTTTTCGCATGTAACTAGCGGCGGAGCTTGTCGAATTACTCACGATGTCAAATAAATTTAACAAGTTTAAACTAAGAACCAACTTTTTTTCACTTAATCACAGCTACTTACGCTTTTTAAAAGCAATTTTATAACCTAAAACATAAAAAAAACTTAACCCTAGTTTTTCTGTAGGTACATCGAAGGTCTACATTCAGAGCAGAAGTATATCACACCTTGGGAGAAATCTCTCACTCCGATGCCATCCAACCCCGACCCAGCTCACTTCAATGTGCACAAACTGTCACAATGGATGTCAGAAGACGCTGTCAATGGATATCTAGCATATGACAAGAATCTCACAGACAGTGATATACAGAAAATGGATCAAAGCACCAAGATAGTGAAAGCTATATGCGTACTCAGAGACTATATGATGAGAGATGCACTCGCTATATACAAGAATATGTGAATTTATGTTTTTAAGTATTAAAGATCATGATTTAAATAATTGTTTTATTCAGATTTAAAAAAAATGTAAGTATGGTAGTTGACACATCACTTGAAACATTTTTCTACATATTTCTTAAATGTTTTTTGTTTTATTATAATTTATTTTATGATATTGAGTAGAGGAAACTCAAATGTTACCACTAATAAAAAAAACAAAGTTTGTGTGCTTACATTATTTAATAAAGTATAAATACAATAGTACATTTTAATTATATGGCATGTTGTGAAGGCAATAACTAAACATTTTCCACTTCTTCCTTAAGAAGTCGCACCAAGTTGTTGAACTTGCTGCCGTCGAATATGAGAACCTGTAATAAAATTAATTATTTAGATTCAATAACATACTATTACTAATCTCTGCGACTCGGCAAAATTAGAATAAGTCTCATTTTTAATTTTTTTCAACTAATAATAAGAACATTTAAATTATATCCGGCTCGAAGGACCAATGGCTACTGGCTCGGTTTTTATAGATATTGGACTATATCCTACAAGTTTTTAACCATATAAGTCTCTTGTTTTCTTAACAATGCTCTTTAAAACTATGATTATAAACAAAAAAAAATCGTACCTTTCTGCAGGGCGTCAATGCACCTCCTTCATAGTCCCACTGTGACAGATCTGCTTGTTCCGTCACATCCACTTCAAAACTTGCTAAAGCTTCCTCTAGTAATGGTTTTTCTTCTTGATTCGCAAACAACACTTCTGAACCATCATCTAGAATACAGAAAAAGTAAATAATACAATACTCAAATCTATTTATATAAAAGAAAGTCGTGTTAGTTACACTATTTATAAATCAAAACAGCTTTACAGATATGGCTAAAAATTGGCGAGGATACTCTTAGAGCCAGGACTATTTATTCTGTTCGACTATTTTTTGGGTTTTTATTCCCACGCGGACTGAGTCGCGGGCGAAAACTAGTAAACTTATAAATAGATTACCTTACAATACTGTTGTCCTTGAGAAATACTCATATAAAAACATTGTTGTCTTTATTTATAGTAAGAGTTGCCTTTGACTTAACTATGACACAACTGTTGTGCGATTGTCGATTGTTTCTCAGCCAATTCAACTATTTAGTTGCACAAATAAAAATCGAGTACTGTTACCTCCATATAAGCTCATAAGAATCCAAGTGAGACTAAAAAGTTGTGCGATAGAGTAGTCAAAGGTGTGTGTGCACTCTAAACAAGTCATTATTGTCAGTACAATTCAGATTTTTGGATTTTTTTTACTTATGTTAACAATTAATCTATCAAAATATTTTCTTATAAAATCTATATATTTACTAACCTCCAGTATTATATGTTTTACATATCCATATCAAGTATTGGAATGTGTAAGGCATATCTCTCTTTACCGCCTTCTCTAATTCTGACTGGAGTGAGGCGAAGAGTGGTACACTAATGGCTGCCGGAATGTTCAAGATCCTAAAACCAGAGTTTTTAACTTAAAAATTAACAAAGGGTAGCGCTTGCTTCAACTTGTTCTCGTTGTAGGGAAGACTTGCTTATTAAAATACCCTAACTACACAGAACACATGTATGTAGTAGGAGCTATTCCGTCTAGTCTGAGTATGCGTGCAGAGGCTTAATTTTAGTGCCTTTCCTGCACCCTTTTCTTATGTGGAATTTTAAACTGAGAGTGGATTTGATGGTGAAGCATAAGGGGAAAAATCTGCTTTATATGAGTCTCTTCCTCCGTCAATTAAGGGCAGGCAAAGGATTTCAATTTGATGTCTATGGACAGCGGTAGCTTCACCTTTTCGGCGAATTTATGTAGCCGCTCTCGTTTGCCACTTTATAATGAAGAAATATTATGCAATATTTACCTTTCATTTATAACCAGTCCTACATGACGGTCATCATCCGACAGTATTTTATTAACTAATGCTTTTGTCTTGTCATTTGCATTTTCTTCTGCAAGTGTCATCAGTAGAGTTCTTATTTGTTGTATACTGCTTTCATCCTAAACAAATACAGTTTATTTCATCTATACTATTATAATAAAGCGTAAACACACACTTCTTTGTTGCCTAAGATGTCAGCAATTACAACATGTTTTTAAATATTTCTTTTTTTAATAAAAACTCCTACACTTGCGTCACGCTTTAGGCTATATATTTTAACGCCATTAAACTTAGCGGGTAAATATTTTGGATAAAAGCCCTAATGTGGGAAAGAGACCATATGTTGCTGCCAACATCAAGGAAGCAAGGTTGTCATGTCATTTTAACATTTGTAATTAATAATTTGACAAATGTAAACAATAATATAAAGTTTTCATAATTTCATGCGGGTGAAGCCACACGGGAACAGCTAGTTATTTCTATTGTCAAAACATGTTTCAAAATACACTGTCATCCCACTTATCATTTTGTGAAAAAAGAAATGTAATCAAAGACATTCAAGAAATATATAGATCAGGCAATTTTTTTTCACCGGTAACTTCTTTAAAAGGTACTATGTTAGTTGTCCAGTTTAGTGCCACCTCATGTCCTTGTATTGACACGTAATAAAACATTTTACAAAAATATAATAAGCTCCATCTTTTGTTATAATGAAAACATTTAAATATTATTTATTGATACCTATTGGAATTTCTCTTAAATGCAAATAATTATATTGACATGTGGTTATGAATATCTATCAATATATAGCATTAGTGAAGATATTGTGAGAAATGTCTCAAGTGCAGTGTCAAATAAGCTTCCTCTATATGTTTTTAAATCTCTTTGGATAATTTTATTACAAGTGTTAACTTTGTGTGAATACAAAAAAAATTGTAACAGCTAGTGTAAACAAACTTACTTTTCTCTTAGTAATATTTATAACAGTGGTGACTCCAAAGACTCCATCACTTCCGTCATCATCATCATCTTCATCATCCTGCCCATCATCCAGGCATTGCTTCACTACACTGCCTACATAGTTTTGCGCTGAAAATATTCAAATGTGAATAACTTGTTGAATCAACATTCCATTGTGTACCAAATAAAATTATTAAAAAATGCCAATTTATCTGAATATTAATCTTTTGATTTCAACTAAATTTTTCTCAACAATCTTTACTAACAATAAAAGAGGAAGGATTTTTATATTGTATTAACTCAACAACTACTAGGCCGATTTAAAATTTTTTCATAATTAAAAGGCTATGTTTGTGTTATTTATTAAATTCATGTGAAAAAATTCGCAAGCAAGAGCCCAAAAAATTTGTATAATACCAAAAAGTAATTTATTATAAGTTACATGCTTACATATGATAATCTGTGCTAATCCTCCTAGATCTACATTTGATTTGAGAAAGAGTTGGCGCAGGAGTTGCTTAATGCCGTGGTAGTCACAGTCTTCAGGGTTTCTGCCTTCAAAGTCTGCTTGGAGCTCCTGAAAGCAGCAAACAGATATTTAGTATTATTATATAGTAGTAACTTTTGCCCAAGACTCCGTCCATATGTAATTTGTTCTAGTGCCTATGTGTTCTTCCAGAAATAACTCTGTTATTTCTTATGAGTTAAAACAGGTACCCCACAGTTAAAACTTCCTTACTGTATTCAATCTAACATTTTGTAACATAATATTTAAATGATGTAATAACTATGCAATAACACGTGTGTGCACACACATGCAATAACGATTACCAGGAACAACGCTGTAAACGTTGTGAATGGCTACCTAGATCGTGTTTAACAATAACATTAATCTTTGTTGATAGTTAACATTTGTTATGATTTATGATAGTGCTTTCAAACTAATCAAGATATATGTCGACATCACTAAAATAAAACTCGATACATTTGCTAGGTACGGTTTCTAATATAATTATTGGTAATTTAGTGTTATTTATTGTGCCATGTGTTTTTAGGTTACCTTGTCTCCGACGTAATTGCCATCAGAATCTAAATCTGAGTCTCTATCGCTACCAGAATCGTTTTCATTCTCACTCTCACTGTCGTCTATCTCGATTTCTTTGTTCTTTTTGTTAGACATGTTAGTAAGTTCACAAATTTTAGAACTTTTAAATACAACGACAAAATGAGGCCGTCGTCGCCGCTTACTATTTTGACATTGACAATGACAATTGACAATTCATTTGACATTGATTGGCCACAGAGCAATAACAGAATGGGTTGACAGATATTGTACACAGAGTTTATAATAAGAGATGCTTTAAATCCTAATGTCAGAAAATTAATTTGTTTAAATTACTTTGGATCAGGAGTATTAAGGATGATACAAATGGTATAAATTAAAATGCGACTAGAATCAACACAGTTTAATTTTTGTTAAAGCAAAGATATGTTCTATTTTAATTCTTTATTGTTACTTTTACTATCAGAAAACGAAACGTTATTTATTTCTGAAATACGTTGACCAGCAGCATTAAATATGACCACGATGTTTTCAAAATCTGAAATGAAAAAAATGCAACTCCAGTTGTTTGCAGGTAAACATGTAAAACAAGAAGAAATTTATCTGCTTACTGTACTATAACTTTCAATAGAAATAACTGAAAATCCATATGTAGTAACGTACACTTCTTTTTGGGCCCTGGAAACAAAGTACTTACTATACAAATTATGTAAAAACCAAAATAATCATTAGAATATGTCATACCGGTAAAATATAATGATTAAGAAACTCTTTACGCGATGAGGTACGTTATACCAGCCACTGAAATAAACTGCATCGGCAATGCCTTGACTCTGAAAACATGCATGCAATATATTACTAAAAAAAGAGTTGCTTGATAGACCTAGAAGCGAAAAAAACTGTTTATGTTCAAAGTTTAAACAAATAAAACAAAGTGAAGATATTAGATGCGATTTTATAAACTTATTGTAGTCCATTGATTTCAAATGCAAATAATTAATTTACGGAGTCTAGAAGCTTCTGTCCATACCAGCAAACCAGCCAGATCTGAAGAGTGGCGGTTGTCAGGAAAAATTTGTATGTAATTTCGTTCCATTTCTCTACAAACTGAAATAAAAATGTAACTTATTCTGACCATTAATTACTAAGGTTACTTTTTACGCAGTACGATAACTATCGTTTAACTAGTGCCGGAGCAGGGACAGTAAGGGACGATAAAATTAGTGAATTACGGTGTTAATATTGAATGTGATATTTTATTTTAAAACCAAATGTACACTTACCATACAACAAAATCCACAGAAACAGATTATAATCGAGCTGTTAATGAAATTTATGAGAAGTGAAAACGTAAATTGATTCTCCACAACGCCGGACATCCTGTTCGAAAAAAAGTGTATTGAAATTTGTAACCCTACTTTACCACAGATTAATATTTTGATCCTAGTTTTTTAAAAACAATAAGATATATGCTTAGATTCTAATTAATGAAATTGTTACTCCTTTGTATTATAACTAAAATTTCGTCCGCGACTCCGTTCTACATAAAAAAAAAAAACAGAAGTAGACTGTTCTCGATGTCTATACTAAATGTCACCGAGATCCGTTCAGTCGTTTAGGCTACAAACTCTTACATCTATCAATTATTAAATTTTCACATCATACTTATAATATTATAAATGTCAAAGTTTGGATGGATGGATAGATGGATGTTTATTAGAGTTTGTAGCCTAAACGGCTGATCGGATCTGGACGAAATTTGGCAGAGAATAGAAAAACACGTAGGCTACATGCTTTTGTTTTTTTTTTATTTCATACGGACTAAGTCGACTCAACATTAATTTTAATTATTAAATACCTGATCAAGGCACGATGTTTCAGAATAATGTCGACCAATTTCTTTTGATGTATTTTCACCAACTCATCGTTGTTATTATACTCTACATTATCTGTATCACATTCCAAACTGTATTGAGCTAAAACGATAAGAAAATAAGTTAAAATACATAATTGAATATTTTACATATACCAATATTAGGTATACATTCTACTACAAGCAAAAAATATTTATGTTATGATTTGTCTTCTTCGATTATTACTAAAGGTGTCCAAATAGACCCCTGGGGCCCACAATAGCCTTGGAGAGGTCACGATCTCTGAAAAATTGAGGGTCCATGAAAGATTCATCTGATTTCAAACATTAGTCGGTCGTAGCCAACAAACAAAATAATACAAACCAAACAAAACAAAAAAAACTAAAGTAATTTTTGATATTCGATAGTAGTAGTATTGGATAGTAAATTTTTTGTAGTACTCAAAGTCCTTGATCCCAACACGTCATGGGTGCAAGAGAGTGGCATTGGGCAACTCTTTAAAAAACTAATAAAACTTTGAAGAGGACCTCTGGTCTATATGAAGTGAATGAATGGAATGGAGAATGTAATGAAGTGAAAAATATAATACCAAGAGGATACTCCTTAATAAGTTGTTCATCCAATGGTACATAAAACATTTTCTTCAATCTAATAGCAAGCAAATCGAACTGAGTTGTAATGTGGCTCAGGAATACCCAGAACAACGCGTCTGTAGGTAGCATGAAACCAAGCGCGAGGAAACCTGAAAGCATAGATTATATAGCAACTACAAGATAGTACATTTTTTTTATAAAAAATATTACTAGACTTTCATTAATTTACTAATATTTCCTTTAACCATTCTAACAAAGCTCTAGGCTTGTGCTAAGATTTGGTTCACGACAGTCGAATGGCGGGATTTGAACCCTCGACCGCAAGATCGGTATTCCGTACCCTAAACCATTAGACTATTGGCGCTTAAAGATTAGAGAAAACTCCCAGTTAAGTATTAAAATATGTAAATAAAGATAATCCTTACAGTGCCAAGTTTGTACAACAGCTATGACTTCGAAGCGGCCTCTTATGAATGGATCGAAAGGAAACCAGTAGGAGAAAGCCAGCGTTAACCGTACTTCCTGGCCCATCGCCTGCTTTATCATGCCAGTGAATGGCGGCGCTGATAGTAATATGAACAGTGCCAATGTGCAGAAATAGTAGCCTGTAGATACCGTTAAATAAAAGAAATTGAAACACTTCACTATTAAAATTGTTAAAACCGTTTAATTTCTATAGGTTAATAGAACAAAAGAAATTGGTTTTTTATTTTTAAATCTTTATTGATTACTAGCTATTGCTCGCGACTTCGTCTGCGTGAAATTAAAAAAAAAGGTGCAAGAATAATTGAAATGAGCCCAGTCGTTTTTGAGTTATTTCAATACATGCAAAAATACACATCTTTCCTCTATAACATTATTTATTGATATTGATTTGTTGATTATTGACTATTAGCTGTTGCTCGAGACTTTGTCCGCCTGAAATTTAAAAAAAAGAAAAAGAAAAAAGCCTACGTTACTCACCGATAACGTAGCTTTTTAATGGTGCAAGAGTTGTTGAAATCAGCCCAGTAGTTTTTGAGTTATTCCAATACATACAAAAATACACATCTTTCTTTCTGATATTAGTATAGAGTATAAATATAGTTAATTCCTATTTACCTTTGATATTTCGTCTCAATCTAACAAGTGCTAAACGCACTATATCGTACTCCTCTTTCGTGACCGCGTCCTGAGGCCACATGTCTCGTAGTTCATTGATCAAGTTCTCATACACGGGTCGGTAGTACAAAATCTTGTATGATTTCACAGCACCTAAGGGAATCTATCAATATCAACTGCCTGGTTCCGGGCTCGTTACGTTTTCTTACCTTCTATCCCTTTTCATTATTAGTCGTAGAAGTCAACGACGAGGAAAGATTGAATCGAATTTGTTAGTTATGGTCCGATAGTCATCATTTTTTTAGAGCGGGCACACCATTGACTAAACTATCGCACAACTGTTTGGTCTCGCCTTGACTTATTAGCTTATATGGAGGTACGCACACTACTCGATTTTTATTTGTGCAACTAACAGAATTGGCTGCGAAATAATCGACAATCGCACAACACTTGTCCGATAATTTAGTCAAAGGAGCGTATTCGTTCATATAAATCAGAATAATAGTAATTTAAAAAACTCAAATAATGCAGCTCAATTACTAGAAAAAAAAAACTCTAAAGAAAAATTAGATTTCAACTTTCTCCGAAGAATAAAGTTTTTAAAGGAATCCCTACTTTAAAATGTACAATTCTAGAAATTCCCACGGTCGTAATATACCCTATTAAAAACCGAAACCTAAAGAAGTAATTGAACTAATAAAAACTAACATAGCAACAAATAACCAACGCAAGGCATCATAGTGAAAAGTTCAATAAAGGAACCGTCGCGAGCCGTTTGCTTCATTCTGATCAGCTCTAGGAACATCGCTAATAGCACGTTCATAGCCTCGAATAAGTAAAACGCGTTCCACAGCAATCTGCAATAAAGACACAAAAGTTATAAAAATAACAAACAAGATAGTTATTGTCACACTTGAAAATAACATTTTGAACAAAATCATCATCTCCCCTGCCTTATCCTACTCCCGTAGGGTCGGCGCATCGTGTTTTCATCCTCCAAATAACTCTGTCATCCGTCATCTCAGTCATCACTCCCTTCTTGATCATACCTCTTTTCACGCAATTTATCCATCTCTTTCTAGTTTTACCTCTACCAGTGTTCCCTTCCACACTCATAACTAACGTTCTTCTTGTTACATGCGATTCATCCCTTCTCAAAACATGCCCATACCACGCTAACCTTTATTAGCTCCTTGTTTTTTCAACATTTTGAACAAAATGAGGTAAGAAAACATTTTATATATCAGGCTTACAGGATTTTGTACAAAAAGAGAGATGTTAACTAAAGTTGTATACACCAAATAATAAGCTATTAACTACAATAAACGAGTGATTATTAAGAGATCTAAATACCTTGCTAATGGCGGATCATTGTGTGTTAATCGGAGGCCGACTAAACGAAACATAGTTTTTGAAAGATCGTAAGACGCGTCATATTCGCTCTTATCTAATTTTAACTCCTGGAAATAAGGATATTATGAACAGAAAGTAATCTAGTATTGATCAGTTTAGTAAATGGGTTATGTTATAGGGCTTGAACAAGTAGTCCTTTTAAATTAGATGTCATTTTCAAAGACTTTCTTTAGACTCTACCCTTACAGTCATTTAAAAACATATTTTTCTTGTTTTTTACAAGCATTTATAAAGACAATAGTAATTTTTATTTAAGTATATTTCTTAAACGGTAAATAATATATTATAAATACCCACTGAATTTACAGAAAATGTTTCCACCTTACTTTCCTTAAAAAAATATTCTTTTAGAAAAGACATTCTGTTAAAGATGCGATAACTTTTGTCTTGAAATAAAAAAAAACCGATCGTTTTTATATTGTTTTGACATGTTTAAGGTGTAATTAAATATAAGAAGTAAGGCAACGTTCATAATAACAAGATTAGAATTCTTTTTAAATACTTTTCTTACAATAAAAATGTGATGTAAGTTTTAGACAGTAAATTAGTAACAACGTAATTATATCGATATCCGGTCTATCGATTCTTGCCAAAAAAATACGCTTACCCGTAATCATCCGATTGACATTGACAGATGTCATAGTGATGGGAAGTATATGTCAGTGATTTAGTGTTGTGTTGCTACTCCGACACGGTACGTATTCTCAACAGTAGGCATATAGGTCAACAAACTAATTCTAAATTCGAAGATAATAACTAATGTTATCAGAGTCGTTAATTCGTTTATTGGTATAGATTTAGTATGAGATGTAGGTTACATTAAACGACATAGAAAATTACTGATGGCCATATACTGAAACGAATCTTAAACTTCGTAAGCACCTCTTATAATCTTATATACTTCAACATTTTAATGGAATTTGAACTTTAAGTGTGGCCTTATAATTTAAGATGGTGTTACATGAATGTCGTTTCAGTAAACTACCATTTTTTCTTCAGTAAGATTTTAATTTAGATATTTATACTTTATAAATCTTTTTCTTTACATTGATTAAATAATTGTAGCAATGAGGTTAGATTGTCAAATAGCAAATTCGCTTTACAGAATTATATCTCTACTTTAAAAAGTTTGAAGACTGTATAAATACGGCCTATTTTCCATCATAATAGCTCTTTAATTACTCTCAATTAATTATTTACTTTTGAACTGCAGTATTGTAAAATTTAAAAAACAAATTACTAGGTTTACGGAGTTTCTTTTGAATATTCTCAATGTTGTGTTTAAGTTAATTGTTACTTACGAATAAACATCTGCGGTCTTTCATAACCGTAACGTGTTTAATTATTAAACGATTTGAAGAATAACACTTTGAATGTTCGTTTTTTTTAATTGACATTTTAAGTTTGCTGTATAACGGACGAATGTGACTTTTTTGGTACCGCATTAATTAAATGCAAAACTAAAGACATTTAATAGATAATTAAATCAAAAGCATTTTAAATTGTAGTTCTTAATAGTAGTAATTTTTTTTTAATTATTTTAGTACTATTTCAGTTTGAAACCGTTCTAAATTTGAAAATGTTTGTGTTAAGACATGCTTCACAACAATATGTTCAGTTCATTGCTTCCAATTTCTATCTCTATCTAACTATACATGTAATAAAATTGAAGTGTCTGTTTGTAATATCTAAAGAAAAGCCCAGATTTCGGGCAGATGATGTATATGCGTTGCTGATAACAAAAATCGCATTAAATTTTTGTCTGTCTGTCTGCTTGTTCGCAAGCCGTGTTATTCTTGGTAATCTTCGAAATGGCTGGGCCTTTTTCTACGGGACTTTATAGGCTACTTTTTTAAAATTCCGCGCTGTCAAAATGCCGTAACGAGTAGTTCAAATTTACGCTGACGGAGTTTTCTGGAGTTTAAATAGACATCTCCTTTAAAAAAAAAAACAAGAAAAACATCTTGTTTTCATCCTTGTTCAAGGTTCTCCTTGAAATTAATGGCACTTAACACTTAACGTTACCAGGGCGCCATAAGAATTGAGGAGTTGATTCGGAACAGCATTGTTATCACGATCACGTCGGCTGGTCGCCGCGGACGATGGATTTGCGGTGTACCGATCTGCGATTTGCATCTCAAATACAGTACACGATAACGGTAGACTTGGGACATTTTTATTGCATCTACTTCGAAATCCAAGTCCGTCGTTAAATAGAGCTTAAATAATTTCGAAATCTATGCCATAATTTAAAATTTGGAAACGCTGTAAAAACAACCAGTCTGGTTAAAATGTAGTGAGAAACAACCTAGAGTGCCGACACTGGTTTAGTAATCCTTTCCTTAAAAGTGGTGTTATATAATTAATATATGAACATGCTCATAATTTCATATTATAATGATTTCTGTAAAGGCTATTGGAATAAGTGGTATACTGGTAATCTTTCTAATTTCCTAGCTATGAAAATGAAACGCTTCCTAGTTTATGTGGACAATTAAATGAAATTACTCGAGCATTAAATTTTAAGAGGAAAAACGGATGAAGCTTTTATCGAGATATTAATATTAAGTGATAACTCAATAGTAGTAGGTTTTAAAAGGAAAATAACGTTTAATTATCTCTCTTCCAATTATTGCTATCAGAGTGCAATAATGCATGATTTTCTTACAGTAAGTTTTCACTGCCGAAATACCGAACAAAACAACGAAAGATTACTTTATATTTAGGTTTTGCAGTGAAATAATAACTCTACAAAAGTATAAAGATACTTTAAATATAAAAAATATGACAAAAGTATTTTGACGTACATCTCGAGACTCGGTTAATTTTGGACGAACAAATTACCTGTGAAACGATCACATATTACGTGTATGGTTATGAATAGGTGATACGATGTCGATTGTATTCTAGGTAGCGGGTAGTCGGCAGTAGTCGCGTGCGGCCCATTGTCAATATTCGCGCCATAAATATAACAATTGCGTACTCCGTATGTCCGCCATTACAGAACAAGGAGACGTTTAATGGCTTCTTTGAATTTTAAGAGACAGGACCTATCAAACACGCATTCTTTGTCAAATAAAAATGAACGATAAGTTATGAACCAATCAAATTGTGTATGCTCTGTTCATCAGCTTATTTTGTGTGCTTTCATACAGACTTGTCAATTTTACATGTCAGCAATGCATGTGTCAATATTATTTTTTACCGCAAGTTACCCGAAAATTGGGATAAATTATTCAGTAGGTAAAACGGTGGTTGTTGCCGAGTCCATTCTTCTATAGTCAAAGAATTATAACACAAAATAATATTAGAATTTATTACACATTATAGTAGGATAAGGACCTTGGTTTTAAATGTATTTTATTGTTTTAAAGATTTAATTTAAAATTATAACATATTTAAAAATGCGTTTCTATAATTTACAACTTTTTAATACATCTATCATTTGGATTAATAATAATCACTAAGGGCCTAAAAGCTATAATAATAAATCTACTTTAAGCTACGTTCAGCACATACATAAAATAAAGGGGAAAATTAAGCTTATGTATACAATGTCAATTTAAAAAAAGTTTTTCCGCGGTCGAATTGCATCGCGCCTGCGGATCGGCCCCATCCTGACATCCGTGCCATAGAGTATAGTGATCATTCAGTCTCCGGCACGGTTCATCGCGTGTCGCACGTCTTTGTGCGTATTTCATGTAAAAAAAGATTAACGCGTAAATTTTCGCGGCAATTTGAAAATCAGTTTTCAGTTTACAGACAATAAAAAGTGTTTTAATTTGTTATTTTACGGAATATGATTATTTTCTTTTGTTTGTAAATGAACATTGTTTTGTCTATGTGATATTTATTTCTTGTGGTTGTGACATCGTAAAGTTTTATTGGTTATAAAATGGCTTTCAACTAAAATTATCGTGTCTGAAAATCTAGGTTATAAAAGGTAAGTTTTATTTAATCGAAATTATATTCTATGAGGATGGAAATAGAATTGATATTTATTATTTATTTGTAAATACGGTGATGGAGGAGTATATTTTTGTTATATTGACTTTACCCTGAACCGTCGATCTCGGGTCGTTTGATCTCTTCAATATATCACTATTGAAATTCTTTGAAGATTGAATATGTTACTCGTTTTATTTTAGATGACTGATAGATTTGTACTTTATTAGAAAAAGGAACACAATTGATTTTATTATTGACGGTAAGCCTACTTAGATTTATGAATATTTTCATATAAAAATGAAGGTAGAAAAAACAGTAAAGTTAATTATGAATTCTTCATTTTAAAGGTTTCATATGTTTTCTTTTAAATTAACATAAATATTGATAAGTGTAGGTATTTGTATATTTTTAAAATTCTTCCTTATGATGAAATTATTTTCTATTATCTGTTATATTATGTACTCATGTTGTTCAATTAATATGTATGTAGAAAGTACAAGAAAGAAGATGTTTAATGTGTTTATTGTTAATCCATATATGACAGTGTACGTCACTTCCGGTAGCGACAGGTGGCGCCAAGGTCAAGTTGTCTACGTGCCGGACATAATCGGCACCTATTTACTTTGGCAATTTGGTCAATAGATAAATTTCAACAGAAAGTGTTTTCTTTATTACAAACCGACCACGCAAACATGGCACATTGGTAGGCAAGCGTGGATTCCTAACGAAACAGTACCACAAAATATAATGACACCTCTTTCACTCAAAAAATAGACATAACAAAAGAACGTGCTACGTAATTAAATTCAAAATAAAAGGGTCTATTACGATTAATTGCGTGACAGTTGCGAGAACGTATTCGACAAAGTATGAGACTCAAATCTCGTATATCTTTTTTCGATGACGTTACGAAAATGTTCTCACGTATGCTAGAGATAAGCCATCTGATCTGTATAAATGGATTAGGTCATTGCTTGGAAATTATAGCTTTTACTCCGTTTCGACTTGAATCGTTATTATTATGAGTAATAGTTAATAATTTTATATTACTAGCTTGAATTCTCACCACCACGCCGCTACTGTCAGGTACAAAATAGTACGTTTTTTAGCCTGTCTATTTGTAGAGGTCATTTCAATTATAATATGCTGAATAAACTTGTTAGATAAAATAGATATAAACGCGAACAAAGCCGCAAGTAAATCTAGTTCAAATCAGCGCTCGTAGCGCCCTCTGTCTGTTGTAA